TTTTGGCCATTGTAATGTAATTTTCAAAGTAATAGGATCGTTTCTGGTTATTTCATCTGCCGAGCAAGTTGAAATGATAAGGCACAGAAGGTGGAAAAAAACAACAGTTCCAGTTCAGAAGTGTTGCAAAGGAAAAATTTAAGTAAGCAGTAGCTCCCGTGAAACAGTTGATACTGCCGTTATTCAAAGCTTAAACATTTCAAACCTTACTTCTATTGAGACAATCATCACTACATTTATTCAAAAATTTTTTACTTTACTAATGATAACAATGGCAGTAATAGTAATAGTAATGACAGTAATAATTTAATTTTTTTGGTTGTTTTTAGTAAAACAATTTTTTTGTCTTTTTACTGTGCCATAAACGGTAATCTCAATGGCTAATAAATCCGATCTTTTAACACCTTTTTTTTTTCAGTCAATCCATAAATTTCAATACATTGTAAAGGTGTGACAACTATTAACACATACTTTCTGTTTAAAAAAAATTTCTTTTTGTTTCTTTCGTTCATCTGCGTATTCCCATATAAGATAAAGTCTCGCAATTTTTTTTCAAATGTACTGTAACTTAACAAAGACTTAAACCATCGTATGTTGTGCAATTTTAGGTGTTTTCGCTTCACATCTATCATATTTCATTCTTGTGGTAGAATATTTGCCGACATTTAACTATGATTCTAGAAATGGAGAAAGCAGTGACCTGCAAGACTTTAAATAAAACTGTATCAAACGTTAGGCTTTTTCTTTTCAAATTTTCTGACTGGTTACATAACAGAGCAATAGGAGACCAATGCAAATATCATCATGTGAAATGCTGAACCTTCAGGAAAGCAAATGGAAATATAGCAGCCGCCTATCCCTTAACATTCAAAACATTTCTGGGCTTTTTAATTGTTATTTTTTCGCAGCACAGTCAATGTCTGCACCCTGCAAACATCCAGAGCAGCATACCCCAAGAACAAGTGTACCAACTAACTCCTCTTATACGTTTAACAATGCTGCCCAACCAAAGTATAATTCTAAGAAAGATTAATTTAACATACCAGCATAAACAATATATATATA